AGTGATATGATATGGCCATCATCGTCTTGTGCTTGTGATCTCCATCTCCGAAGCACCTTCATGATCACCATCGTCACCGGCGCGACACCTTGATCTTCATCGTAGCATCGTTGTTGTCTCGCCAATCTTATGCTTCCATGACTATCGCTACTGCTTAGTGATAAAGTAAAGCAGTATAGGGCGATTGCATTGCATACAATAAAGCGAAAACCATATGGCTCCTGCCAGTTGTCGATACCTCGGTTACAAAACATGATCATCTCATACAATAAAATTTAGCATCATGTCTTGACCATATCACATCACAACATGCCCTGCAAAAACAAGTTAGACGTCCTCTACTTTGTTGTTGCAAGTTTTACGTGGCTGCTACAGGCTTAGCAAGAACCGTTCTTATCTACGCATCAAAACCACAACGATAGTTTGTCAAGTTGATGCTGTTTTAACCTTCGCAAGGACCGGGCGTAGCCACACTTGGTTCAACTGAAGTTGGAGAAACTAACACCCGCCAGCCACCTGTGTGCTAAGCACGTCGGTAGAACCAGTCTCGCGTAAGCATACGCGTAATGTCGGTCCGGGCCGCTTCATCCAACAATACCGCCGAACCAAAGTATGACATGCTGGTAAGCAGTATAACTTATATCGCCCACAACTCACTTGTGTTCTACTTGTGCATATAACGTCAACGCATAAAACCTGGCTCGGATGCCACTGTTGGGGAACGTAGTAATTTCAAAAAAAAACCTACGCACACGTAAGATCATGGTGATGCATAGCAACGAGAGGGGAGAGTGTTGTCTACGTACCCTCATAGACCGAAAGCGGAAGCGTTAGCACAACGCGGTTGATGTAGTCGTACGTCTTCACGATCCGACCGAATCAAGTACCGAACGCACGACACCTCCGAGTTCAGCACACGTTCAGCTCGATGACGTCCCGCGAACTCCAATCCAGTAGAGCTTCACGGGAGAGTTCCGTCAGCACGACGGCGTGGTGACGATGATGATGTTCTACCATCGCAAGGCTTCGCCTAAGCACCGCTACGATATGATCGAGGTGGATTATGGTGGAAGGGAGCACCGCACACGGCTAAGAGATCTAGAGATCAATTGTTCTGTCTATGGGGTGCCCCCTGGCCACGTATATAAAGGAGTGGAGGAGGAGGGTGCCGGCCAAGAGGAGGAGGCGCGCCCAAGGGGGGGGGGCAATCCTACTCCAAGTAGGTTTTGCCCCCCTTTCCTATTCCAACTAGGAGAAGGGGGAAGGAGGAGGTGGGGAGAAGGAAGGAGAAGGGGGGCCGCGCCCCCTTCCCTTTCCCAATTCGGATTGGGGCAAGGGGGGCTGCGCGCCACCTCCTGCTGCCTCTCCTCTTCCACTACTTTGGGCCCATGAGGCCCAATAACCCCCGGGGGGGGTTCCGGTAACCCCCCGGTACTCCGGTATATATCCGATAACCACTGGAACTATTCCGGTGTCCGAATATAGTTGTCCAATATATCAATCTTCATGTCTCGACCATTTCGAGACTGCTCGTCATGTCCGTGATCACATCCGGGACTCCGAACAACCTTCGGTACATCAAAACTCATAAACTCATAATATAACCGACATCGAAACGTTAAGCGTGCGGACCCTACGGGTTCGAGAACTATGTAGACATGACTGAGACATGTTTCCGGTCAATAACCAATAGCGGAACCTGGATGCTCATATTCCCATATATTCTACGAAGATCTTTATTGGTCAGACCGCATAACAACATACGTTGTTCCCTTTGTCTTCGGTATGTTACTTGCCCGAGATTCGATCGTCGGTATCTCAATACCTAGTTCAATCTCGTTACCGGCAAGTCTCTTTACTCATCCCGTAATACATCATTTCGCAACTAACTCATTTAGTTGCAATGCTTGCAAGGCTTAAGTGATGTGTATTACCGAGAGGGCCCAGAGATACCTCTCCGACAATCGGAGTGACAAATCCTAATCTTGAAATACGCCAACCCAACAAGTACCTTTGGAGACACCTGTAGAGCACCTTTATAATCACCCAGTTACGTTGTGATGCTTGGTAGCACACAAAGTGTTCCTCTGGTAAACGGGATTTGCATAATCTCATAGTCATTGGAACATGTATAAGTTATGAAGAAAGCAATAGCAACAAAATAAACGATCAAGTGCTAAGCTAACAGAATGGGTCAAGTCAATCATATCATTGTCCTAATGATGTGATCCCGTTAATCAAATGACAACTCATGTCTATGGTTAGGAAACATAACCATCTTTGATTAACGAGCTAGTCAAGTAGAGGCATACTAGTGACACTCTGTTTGTCTATGTATTCACACATGTATTATGTTTCCGGTTAATACAATTCTAGCATGAATAATAAACATTTATCATGATATAAGGAAATAAATAATAACTTTATTATTGCCTCTAGGGCATATTTCCTTCAAAACTAACTCAATTACATGATGAATCTCATCCAACTCCTCACCGACCAGCGAGCCTACGAAGGAATTACTCACTCCCGGTGGGCAGCATCATGGAACTGGCAATGGAGATAGGTTGGTGATGACGAAGATCGAAGATCCCTCTCTCCGGAGCCCCAAACGGACTCCAGATCTGCCCTCCCGAGGAAGAACAGGGCTCGGCAGCGGCTCCGTCTCGTGGATCTCTTTCTCCCTGATTTTTTCTGGAATAATGTGAATTTATAGTATCAGGGGGGTCATCAGCGGGGCCACCAGGTGGGCACAACCCACCTGGGCGCGCCAGGAGAGGGGGGCGTGCCCTGGTGGGTTGTGCCCACTCAGGTGCCCCTCTCCGGCAGGTCTTGCCTCCAGAAATTCTCTTTATTGATATAAAAAATCCTCAAAAGTTTCGTTCCATTCCGAAAACTTTTATTTCTGCACAAAAACAACACCATGGTAGTTCTGCTGAAAACAACGTCAATCCGGGGTTAATTTCATTCAAATCATGCAAATTAGAGTCCAAAACAAGAAGAAAAGCGTGAGAAAATGTAGATACGTTGGAGACGTATCAGCGCCCACCACGTCCGATCCAGCCTACTCTGACCCACCCGACCCCACATAAATTTGAGCATATCCGCACTCTGGCCAAAACCCTAGCCGCATTCCGCTCCACTCCCCTCTCCTCCCACAATACTAACCTCCTCTCCGGCCAGCTCCGGCCTTCTTCTACATGGCAGCGGCTGGATCCAACTCCGACATGTCCAGATCCAAGGACCGGGATCCCTTGCAGCCCCTAGGAGCAGATGGTCGTTTGTGCTGCTCTCCGACGCTCCCGGGAGGACTACGCCCTCCCGTGGTCTTCAGCGAGCAGCGGGAATCCATTGCCCAACTGCGGCCGGATCTGAGGCCAGTGGAACCGGGGACGGAGGATCTCGCCGCGCGTCGCCGGTAGCTATCACCACGGTCGCATGGCGCAACCCGGCCATGCTGCAGGAACCTTTTAGGTGGCACCTCGTCCCACGGCGTCAGGCACCAAAACGGTGGTCATTTTCGCCTCCATGACCAGACGTGAATCCGAACAGGAGGCTTTGGGCACGGCTTCAAGCGGAGGTGGTTGTCGTAGCCCTCGCAGCGTAGGCGGCCACGACAGCTCGCGACGCACAGGAAGCTTCGGCAGCCCATGAGGCGGCGTTGGAGGAATCCCTCGATGCCTGCATAGCCGAGAAGCGGCAAAGAAGGGCGGTCAAGGCGATGGCAAAAGACCAAAGTCGGGCGGTTCGCGCCATGGCCGGACTACCCCCATGCAGGAGAAAGACGAGGACGACGACGGAAGCTCCGCCCGTGAGCAGATCCGCCTCGATCTGTTATGCGTCTTCGACCGCTACTAGCGCAAGGATGATGTGAATGGCAAAAGCAAGGGCAAGGCCGGCCATGGATGAACTTCTTCGATCATCGTTTCGTTCGTAGTTAGTAGAGCATGTCAATTTTTGGTAGTCCGATGACATGTGTTTAGGTACGTACGCTACGTTGCATGAGCTAATATGGATTTGAGTATTTGATTTAGATGTATCCTGTTGTGGAGGAGCAAATTTGTGTGTTTGAGTATTTGATTTAGATGTATCCTGTTGTGGAGGAGCAAATTTGTGTGTTGTCCGATCACTGCCTGCGGATACGCCCGAAATTTGGTACTTGTGGTTGTAGAGCTCTTTCGGTCATCGTTTCGTTCGTAATTAGTAGAGCATGTCAATTTTTGGTAGTCCCGTGACATGTGTTTAGGTACGTACACTATGTTGCATGAGCTAATATGGATTTGAGTATTTGGTTTAGATGTATCCTGTTGCATGGCAGGCAAATTTGTCCGATCACTCCTCGGTATCCTGTTGTCCGGTCACTGCCTATGGATGCGTCTGAAATTTGATACTTGTGATTGAATCCACAAGAGGTACTTGAACCCTTTTTTTGCGGGCAAAGAAAGGCTTGAACTTAAAAGAGTGTTCCTTGTCAAAGAATGTGGCCTACTACCTGTAAAAGAAAGGCCAATCGCCCTGCGGGGTTGTTTGGACCAGAACTGTTCCACGCGTTAAGTTAGAGGGCTCCCGGTGCAGTTTCCTCTGTACTAAACATGTTAGCAGTGCTTGCCGCCTAGAGCACCAAAGATGTTTGGCTCTTTGCTCTGGAACACCGTGATACATCAGCTATGCAGTCCTAAAACTATGAGAGTAAGCTCAAGGAAACAGAGTAAATCAGCATACGGTCCTTTTTACAGCACAAGTTAAAAGGGACATTTCCACAGTTCACATGGTACGAGGTACACGTAAATATACATATGTAAACATAAATTTATTAACAAGGTACTTGACAAACGACCCCAGAAAACCGACGTCCAGGTCGGCTCAAGCAACTATCAACGCCCTTAAAATAACGAATTTTGGGCAGGCAACAATCACAACTCATCTCATGCTTTTGCAACTTGCAGAGTAGCATGTGATTAGAAACAAGAGAACCGAGATTACCACGTGCTGATGAGAAGCTAGAATCCGGCCCATCCCGATGGCTGATCTACTTTCTTCGCTGCCCCCGTGCTCAATCTCTGGGAGGAACTCCCCTGGGCATTCGTTCTGTTCATCTGTGCTGCTGCTGCAGTGCTACCAGATGATGTGCCGAAACCCCACGCATCAGAGGAAGGCCCCGCATTCGTGTTCCGTATTAGGTTTTGCCTCCCATTGGTTGCATGGTCGACCTTTGGCCTGGCCTGAGCTTTCGCCTCAGGGAATGCCTGCCATGTCTTGGCCTCAGAGCTGGGTACCGAGGAGTTGCCTGAGAGCATTCCTTGCTCAAGTTCCCACACCGTTCCTTCAATCCTCTCCTTCCGCTACATGGATTGTAAGTCTCATGTAAGATGCTAGAAATATTCTTAAGACAAATGTGTTGTACTAGATATACATAGAGTAAGCACTTGTGTGCAAAAAAAAAAAAAGATAGAGCAAGCACCTGGGATCCAAGTTCTGGTATCCTTGAGCTGACTTTACTTGAAGGCAGCGGTGTAGTCTCAGCAACAGTGCGCTTCAGCTCTTGAATTTCTTGGCGCTGGGAGCGGCAGATTGCCGACAGCTTTTCATACTTGGCTGTCATCTCAGCCTTCTCCGACGTGGTTTTCTTCAACTGCTCCTTCAGATTGGACACTTCATCTTCAAGCTCGGATGTCTTACCAGTAGCAGTAGTCCCTGAATGCAGATTGTTTGCATCAAAATCTGCGACAAAACTGTTGAAGGGATCGTTCCCAGATATAGTCTTGCTTTGTGGCTGTGATGCTTTATTTTTCACATAACCTTGTGGTTCCATGAAAAGATTTATATCCGAACCACCCTTAAGTCCATTACTGGATACAGTGTTACTTGTTGTATTTCGTAAAGCCTGACCAGAATGACCATGCCTATCTCCAGGGGTAGTGGTGCTGATATCCACCCTACTTTGGTTATACTTTGATGAAGGTGATGGTTTAATTGGTTCCTCGTCAAACAAGGGATTCCTATTATCAGCAACTTGAGAACCCTGTGCATGTTGGGTCACCCAAAATGCACCTAGAGGTGCATCTCCGGCATTTGCACTTCCATGAGATGATGAGTTATCAGATTGTTCTCTTGGAGGTGCAGGGGGGTTCCTTTTAGGCGTCACATGTGTTCTTTTATAACCACCTACACAGGCAAAACAAGATGGTAATAAAGTTAGACAGCAACCAGTCACACTATCTCTTCTGAGAATATTTAGAATAAACAATCAGACTCAAATAGTAAATACTTTGTTCTAGCACCCAGTGTGCTGTAAGGTGGCATGTCAGAAAGGTTATGTGAAGATAAGGTCATTTCACAATACCTAACACATGACAGTGTAGTGATTGACCCAGTCAGATGCCACAGAAGTAGCTCATAAGACAATCAATACAAACATTACCATTAATTTAATACCCTCTAAATGGAATGATGTAAACTCACGTATTAAACTGTATGGTACTACTCTACAACACCTGTAAAAATTATATAGATGCTTATATAACAATCTTATAATTAGGTGATGTAGGATCTATAAATAGCAGTTTCTATAATTATGAGGATGCAAAATGAGGACTTTTTATTTCATTAATAGACATGCAAAATTCCACTTCATCCAAAAAAATTATAAAGCCAAATTTATTAATGGCAGGTACTTCCTAATTTTACCCTCACAAAACAAAATATGATAGAATATATACAGAAATATGGAGTGATGCAAACATTGCATTTTTCTATTTCTGATAGGTCCATTTTTTCATGGCGCATCAAATACAATCATTGGAGTTATCCAATAAGCAAAAGAAAATTGTATTGATTAAATATGATTGCATACTCTACAAAAAATTCCGAAAGTCCAAACTCTCTAGGAAACACTGTTGTGTCAATCTGGTTTCCAAATAATAACAATGATGACTAATATTATAAATAGCACAGAGTGGGTTGTAACACGAGGGTATTTTTGTTAGCATAGTCCTGCTAATCGAAATATTTAATATATTCGGAGAAGAAGTGAAGCACAGCTACAGTTTTCTACCAACAAAAGAAAAAAAACATGCAGATTCAAATTGTAGCCATTGCATGTGAAGGCAAGACCATATGATACAGAGCATGTATTCTCCTACAAATAGCATCTAAAGAAAACCTCACCATCGTCCTGCAAGCCCATAGAAATTGCTGCTGAAGCCCCATCAGGTAAACTCTTCTGTAACTCAAGAGGCAGTAGTTCATTAACACGAAACCAGACCTGTCAATTGGATAAAATCTAACATCAGAAAAATGAAAACCATACTTATTTGGCTCCTAAGACTACATGCAGCAGTCTATGACTAACCTAGTATCATGAAGATGAATGGCCAATCACCTGTGTGATATCTGGTCTGGCATTTGGAGATGCTTCCAGCATATCTTTGATCAGCCCTGTGACACTGGTGCTGTACTTAGGTTGTTCTGGAATGCGATAATTGCCATTAAGGACCTGCAACTTTGACTCTCCATCAAACGCGGATTTGAAGTAGCATATTCTATAGAGAAGACATCCCAGGGCCTGCCAATTGTGGAATACAAAGTGTTGCAAATCACTTCAACATACTTCGATTGCAAACATGTGGTTTGATAAACAGTAACTTCACAGTTGAGGATTTAGTTGTGATCCAACAACCTAATCATTCTGTTAGACATCACTCAAGATGGGGCTAGTGTGATAATTAAATCAGAGAATATATCACATGCTATGGCATTGGTTTAATTACTATTCAGATATATGAATAATGAAGATCACATGTTCAGATGTTATGGACTTACCCAAATATCAACCTTCTCACTAATAACTTCTCTTCTGTAGAGATCCCACATCTGAAAAACATGAATGCATAGATGAGACCACTGCAGGCCGTACGAGTAAAAAAATTGTATCCATCATGCCAAAAAGTTTTCATTAACCTCAGGTGCTCTATATGCCGGGGTCGTATGCTTCCTAATGATATCTTCCTCGATCCCCCTATCTTCTGGCTTGTCAAAGCATTTATGATTTGTTGACGTGCTTCCAAAGTCACATAGTTTCCATGCACCATCTAATCCAAGAAGAACATTTTCGGCTTTAAGATCCCTAGAGGAAGGAGGCAGAATGTAAAATCGTGGTGAATTATGAAACATTAGTTTGCAAAACTTCAAAGCAAGTCCCACACTCATACCAAATCTGAAACATTCATGCAGGTAAGAGTTGCTTGCACATGGTATTTGCTCACATGCAGATAGCCAAGCTACAACAAGGTATATGGATTCCGTACTGCAGGCAAGAATAGAAAGTAGTACGGGCAAACAAATAGCAGTGGGCAGTTTACTAGCGTACCATCACTCCAGTAGTTGCTAAGTAAACTTAAGTCTACTAATTAAATAATGAAACGGAACAACATAACTGTGCAGAAATCTGACTTGTGATATTTGATAAAAATGCCTAACACTGATCCTTTCTATATAATGGAAATAAAACATGGATTCAATATCTGTAAATGACTCATTCCATGTACCTATGCGCAATTGGTGGTGACTGCCCATGCATAGCAAAAACCGCGTTGCAGACGTCTCTGAATATCAAAAGTGCCTTCTTCTCCTCATAGTAACCAGTACCTCTGCTCTCCATCGCACTCACCAAGGACTTCTCACAAAACTCCATCACAAGCAATGCCTCCTTTGTGCGGCCCATGTCAAAAACATCATGGGCAACCAGTGTGACGACATTGGCATGCCCTTTGAGGAGATTCATCACCTGGATCTCCTTCATGACAAGATCAAGCGATTCCGAGTCATTGCAAATGATATGCTTCAATGCATACTGCTTTGACGAGTGCAACGCGTCACATGCGAGATACACACAAGAGAAACCTCCTTGTGCAATGGCATTGCGTACTGTGATCTTCACATTCCTTACATCAATGGTGCGGCCTTCCACTCCAGTCTGTACTTTCCCCCCAAAGGGATTGAACCTCCGCATTCTCACAATAACCAGGACGAAATAAATGAAAACTCAGGGTTCAATACTTCTGCTAATGATTCTGCATAGATAAAAAGAGGTAAGAATGAAAATTCCGGCATGCACAACAAACACAAAGCCAAATATTTACTTGAGGAGAATAGAACATGATATTGTCTAACAGTCTAAGAAGCCCACGAATGAAATGCCCAATACTCTAGCTTCAACATTATTCACTGGCATCTGCATTAAGTGGTGAAAATCCTAGAATTATCCCTTATAGGCTGATGCTTGGCATTCTATTTTCTCCATGAGGCAATGCTCAACCACAAGCATAACTATCAGAATCAAGTGAAAACAAGGTGCATGATCCAACTTCAATCATGCATGTTTCCTATCCCTGGGTTCACCCGAGAATTTCAGAGTTCTCCATCAGTTAGAAGTTAATCACTCGCACCCCATCTTAACTGCAAAGGTCTTAAAATAACCGCTTGTCTTGGCATGATCTAACTCAAATATGAACGAGGACAGACAAATAAGGCCGGATCTACATGCTGTGTCGAACTTATGGATGTTAGTGTGGGTTCAAGTGATCACTGGATGACCAGAAGTAGAAGCTCATGCCTACCTCAAAAGCCAACGCCCAAGATCGCGATGAGGTGGAACGGGAGCGGCAATGGCCGCGAAGGTTGCAGGGGTTTGGGGTGCGAGGCGACGGCGGAGGCGGAGGCGCTAAGCTACGGCACGGCGGCGGCAGTGGGACAGCAGCAGAGATTTCATAGCCGCATTGGGTCGGATCGGAGCTTGGGTGGAGGATGGGCCATGAAAGGGAGAGGAAAGGTGCGGGATGGTGGAGAGGAGAAGTTGGTCAGATTCCAACGAGGGAGGGGCGCACCTCTTAGATCGGAGGTGGCCTCCGAGAGGCTCGCCGTCGCCGTCAGGAGGTTGAGACCACAATCTCGTGCGGTGCGGGAAGGAATGTATCTCCGCCTCCGCGTCTGGGATGCCTGGCGGAGGGAATAATTGATGACAACCCCCAGTTCGTGTGCCTTTGATCCTAAGCCTTCCTTTGTGTCACTGACATGAGAGACGGAGGGGAGGGAGAAAAGCCGCGACGTGGAGCGGCGGTGGTGGAGCAGAGGTGGCCTATCACTTTGCGCTGTGCCCCGTGCGAGCGTGGTTACAAAGTACGTAGATTTTGGATACTAGTCGTGTTTATTTGGAAATTTTGTTTTTTTCCTCCCGTTCTTTAATAAAATGCCTGGCTTTCTAAAAAAAGAAAAATCAGATCTACTGCTATTAAGCAAACCATCTTTATCTTTACCTAATCTTTATTATTATTTTATTTTATCTACTAATAAAGCGACGTTTCTGGTCGTCCGTCATTAATTAAAATTACCCTTCAAGTTACTAAAAATTACCCACCAATGTCATCCATAAGTGGGAAAACGATTCGTTTTTAATTTCTTAACTCGCCACCGATAGCTCTTGATTCATCTAAGGAAACGCCCTTACACAACATAAGCCAACGAACCAGCCTACTGGCCTGGGTGTTTCTCCACCTTCCAGGAGACTTGGGTTCGAAACCTGGTCGTCCTCATTTTTGTAGCTTTTTTTCGCAAATTTCAGTTGGCGTAGTATAGAGCTATTTCGCCAAGTGTCGCTTAACAGATGGTCTACAAGGTATAATACGGTCAAAATATTCTCTTTTAATTCTTTTTTGCAGATTCAAGTATTTTTTAAATATTTATATCTTTCAAACCCCAACTCCAAATTTAGCATGCTAGATATAAAAATCGCCCAGAAAATTTTGTAGATTCTAAATGTAATGTTATCTTTCATGTTAATTATTTTTATGTTGCACCCTTAATTAGTACTTTCCTTTTTTATTAAAGACACGAATGTTTCTTACTCCCTTTTTTTATACGTCCCTTATTACCAGATTTCCATCCATCATTTGTTCGTCCATTTGCACATAAAATAAAAAAATAAAATAAAATATGTTCACAATTTTAAAAACTGTTTGCAAATAGTATAAAATGTTCATGAATTCAAAAAATATTTTTAATTTTAGAAAATGTTCAAACATTTGAAAAAATGTTCACAAATTTTAAAATGTTCATGATTTCAAATATGTGCACGATTTTTTAAAAAATGATCATGACTTCACGAAATTGAGAGTGATAGTGTATCACGATTTTTGTAGCTTTTTTTCGCAAATTTCAGTTGGCGTAGTATAGAGCTATTTCGCCAAGTGTCGCTTAACAGATGGTCTACAAGGTATAATACGGTCAAAATATTCTCTTTTAATTCTTTTTTGCAGATTCAAGTATTTTTTAAATATTTATATCTTTCAAACCCCAACTCCAAATTTAGCATGCTAGATATAAAAATCGCCCAGAAAATTTTGTAGATTCTAAATGTAATGTTATCTTTCATGTTAATTATTTTTATGTTGCACCCTTAATTAGTACTTTCCTTTTTTATTAAAGACACGAATGTTTCTTACTCCCTTTTTTTATACGTCCCTTATTACCAGATTTCCATCCATCATTTGTTCGTCCATTTGCACATAAAATAAAAAAATAAAATAAAATATGTTCACAATTTTAAAAACTGTTTGCAAATAGTATAAAATGTTCATGAATTCAAAAAATATTTTTAATTTTAGAAAATGTTCAAACATTTGAAAAAATGTTCACAAATTTTAAAATGTTCATGATTTCAAATATGTGCACGATTTTTTAAAAAATGATCATGACTTCACGAAATTGAGAGTGATAGTGTATCTCGATGATGCAACAAAATGTGGCCATGGTCATTGAAGATTATGAAAAAAAATCTCTCGTTGCAACACACGGGCTCTTTTGCTAGTAATAATAAAGCAAATTGGATTTCTTTCGTCCGTCATGGCATTTTTTAGAAAAGTTTCTCTATTTCAGAGAATTCAACCCGCAGTCCTGTTTTAAGTTAAAACGAATTGTTATTTTCGTATTTTACACAAAAGTCCTTGTCTTTTCTTTAAATCAACCCGCCGTCCGGATTTAAGTCACACCCGAACCATTATTTTACATTTTTTGAAAACCCCTTAATGTTTTAGGTAATTCATCCGCACATCATGTTTAAGTCAAACAAATGCTTTTTAAAATCATACATATCTTTTAAACCGTAACTCTGATTTGAACATGTTATATATGAAATTTGATTAGAAAAATATGTAGAATATGAATATGAGATTATTTTTACCTGTTAAGTACTTTTAAATATTATTTTAGAATATATTTGAGTCAAACCAAATGATTTTCTAAATTATATTATCTTTTAAACCATAACTTTGATTTTAACATATTATATATGAAATTTTATTAGAAAAATGTGCGGAATCTAAATATGATGTTAATTTTACCTGTTAAATATTTTTTAAATATTGTTATGGAAGCAAACTTATAATTTATAGCGCAAAATTCGTTTTTTTTCATACCGGCGGCGATCTGGATTGCAAATAAACACCCCACTATAACCATATACGGAAAAGAAAAGACCGATAACTACACATGCATACCTCTAAAAAATGTCACAGGGGAAAACAACAGATTTCTCATCGCGAGAGTGAGAGAAAGCGAGTGAGAGAGAGAGGGAGAGGAAGAGAGAGAGAGAGAGAGACGCCTTAGGATTAACCATATTCACCACACGTTTTTTGTTGTTTTGTGTGAACACCGAGGCCATCGCCGGCGAGGGTGAGAAGGAGGATAAGCGGCAACACAAATATGATGCCTCGCAAAAATAAAAATGAGGGACCTATTGTGGTCTTGAGTGATGGTTACTGAGTTAAGAGCGTGTGTTATGTTTTCTCTCCCGTTGCAACGCACGGGCTCTTTTGCTAGTTGATACAGAAAACCCCAAGAAGGGGAAATTCTTCGAAAACACTAGACCTATCGTCTTCTTTCTCTTGGACCGGCAAGCTAGTCTATGTTGTCTCTCCAAAAGTCAGGTCAACCAGTCTTTATTGTTTACGGATGGGAGGTCATCAAATGTATTGTCCTGTCGGAACAATGCCATACCTAAAAATACATTGTGCTGAAAGATCGATAGATCCAAGATTTCAACACCCATAATAACAAAAACTGACAACCCTCATGCCAGTACCGAGGCTTGCATTACATGACGGAGAGGATATCTGAAGGCCGACAAGCCTTGCAAATCATAACCTCACTGGCAAGAAAGACCGGCAGACGAGCACTTTTAACATGCTCCCTCTTACCCCCCCCCCCTCTCCCCTCTTCTCACATGGGAGGTAAGAAGGTAAGAGTTAATCAAACTCACTACTCAACGCAATCAATGGCTCAGATCATTTTATACTCTTACCTCTCATGTGAAAGGGAAGGCAAGAGGGAGCATGTTAAAAAACCTCCCGACGGAGACCTATGGCAGCAAGGTAGCCCAATTCTTTTGAGGCAAAGGACTAGCCAAAATGGTCTCTTATGATAAGCAAAGCGTTCTTGAGGATACACGGGATTTTCATCTAGTCACTTTCACCATGTTGGTTTGATTCGTGTTAGGTACTTTGATAATTTAATATGTGGGTGGATCGGTGCTTAGTTCTTGTTCCTACTTGAACAAACCTCCTACTTATGATTAACCCCTTCACAAGCATCTGCAACTAAGAGAAAAGTATTAAGAATAAATTCTAATCATAGCATTAAACTTTTGGATCCAATCGGTCCATTACGAAATAGCGCATAAACTAGGGTTTAAGCTTCTGTCACTCTCGCAACCCATCATCTAATAACTACTCCACAATGCATTCCCTTAGGCTCAGATATGGTGAGGTGTCATGTAGTTGACGTTCACATGACACCACTAAGGGAATCACATCATACATACTATCAAAATATCGAACACACATCAAGTTCACATGATTACTTGCAACATGATTTCTCTCGTGACCCCAAGAACAAAAGTAACTACTCACAAATGATAATCATTCTCAAGATCATAGGGGTATTAAATAGCATATTGGA